ATATATGTATTAGTTTTCTAAAAAGAGGAATGTAGGATAATCTTTGACGTGCAGTCAAACTGAATGATTTTCCGCAATACTGATACTAGGAAAAAAGAGGTAACATCGCCTTTTTTTGTTTTTACGATTTCTCTTTTTTCAAATAGATTTTCTTTTTCTTATATTTCTAGACAGAATCAAATTTTAGTGAGTAGCTCGTATTTGAAAATATTTAATATCTAATTTTTTAATTTTTTTAATATTTAATTAAATATTTAATATTATTTTATTCTATATTTTAAGTCGATTCTCGCCAATTCATCACTACTAGAAGAATGTCTTCTACAGCACTATTGATCGGTCACATTAGAAACTACTTTCTCATTTCAGCTGGCATTTCATTTATCGTCATCGGTACTGTGGGCAATTTACTTAACATCATTCTTTTCAGAAAACGCGCTCTATAGACGTTGTCACCTTGTATTCCTTATATGTTGGCTGCTTCGATTACCAATTTGTTCAACGTTTTTGCATTTGTTCCATTTCGAATGCTTGGTGGTTTTAACATTACTCCCGCAAATACTTCATCAGTTATGTGTAAACTACAAATCTATTTCTATTACATATCATTTGGTGTATCAACTTGGTTAACGGTTGCTTGTTGTGCTGATCGATTCTTTTCAACGTCACGTAATGCAAGAATTCGACGTTATAGTAGTATGCGTATGACTAATCGAGTTACATTGGTTATTATATTTCTTATTTGTTTTGGATATTTACAAGTTTTGTACTGTTACGATAACACTGGAGCTTTTATAAAGACTGCTACATGCTATGCTTAAAATAATTCTTGTTATATTATAGATATGATCTATTATCTTCTTACTCAAACCGTCGGACCAACTGTATTTATGATCATTTTTGGCATTGGTACAATCCACCATATTAGACATAAACGACAAGTTTTACCAACGTTACCAATCAGCACAGAACTAGTTGGAAGAACATCAACGTCAACAGCAAATAAAGAGAACACAGAAAGAAATGTTAATAAACATGTTTTGCCTATGCTGACTATACAAGTGATTATATACTTTTTCTGCTCAATACCTCTTCTATCTACAAAAATCTATCAAAATATCCCATTATCAATCGTGAAGAGTGATGTACGGTCTGCTGCCGAAAGTCTTTTTCTCAGCATAGCTATCTTACTGAGTCTTGTTGACAAGATTTTTTCGTTTTTTATTTATACATTATCGAGTAAATATTACCGCAAAGAACTGATTAGAGTACTCCTTCAATTTCGTCCATGGTGATGTATAGTCTCTTAAAGTTAACTTCAATTTTCAGACTTTAGAGTCTTTAGGAGATATACTACATAACTAAAATATATCTCATGACAAATACAATATAACGAAGCGTAAAAACACCCTGATGTTGTTCGTTCGTAACTTTCTTTTACTTTAACTCTTTTTTTCCCTCTATCTTGGTGATTTCTCTATTGTTACCTTTATCTCTGTCATTTCTCGTGTTATTTCGTTTGTCTGTACACATATTATATCGATTATATTTAAAAAATAAATAATTATTTCTAAACTTCTTTCAATTGATCATATCATGCCATATAATCGACAAGAAAATTCTTTTCTGATAATGATCATGAAATCTCATTTGTAAATTTTTGAGGCTCGATCGCGTTCCGACGCGTTCAAAAAGAAACATCTGATGCGTCTTGTAAGCATACAGAAACGCGTCAAAGTATGTGGTAAAACATGTGACGCGTTTGATGCGTTCAGAAAGAAGACGCAATTAAACGCGTTTCTAAATCGTCTTTTGGAAAAAACTGTTCTATTTGTGTAGATTCGTGCTAGATCATCATCATATGCACACGATGATCATCTCTTCTACGAGGCACACAAATAGGATAATAATCTTTTTTATAAATCCGTTTAAATTGGGCAATGGATGAGGCTAGAATATAAGATGACTGATTATAAATGTACATACTTGAACCAATGAACCACATTAACTTATTATTCTATTAAATATATTTCTGTTTTGATAAGATAGTGTGATATGACTTACAAGGGAACATGTCCAAGTGCAGGAGCGCGTTGCAGCCGGAGTTTCGAGCACCATGTAGCCCACAGTGATCTGTGTCTATGATAAAAAAAATCCGGGCTTCTGGCCTGTTTCTGAGGAGATATCAAGCTTCTATTGAATCTTCTCTATAGGATGCTCATATTGACAACATAGCTATACTTTTGAATTTTGAGCTGAAACTTTGCCAGTATTAAAGCCTTAGCTAACCTAGTTTTCACAAAAAATTTCAAAAGCTTTGAATAAAATTTCTCTAAGATATGAAATTATCAAGATAGAGTTCCTTTTTCACAAATAATATACAGAGTAGGCATGTGACAGTTCCATTTCAGCTCATAGAGCTGGAACTGGCCGAAGCAGTTCACGTTCATATGAACTGGAGCTGGTGACCAGTTCAGTTCATGTGAACTGGAGCTGGTGACCAGTTCAGTTCATGTGAACTGGAGCTGGTGACTAGTTCAGTTCATTTGAACTTGATTTTATCATCCACTCTTTGGACGTTTTGAGTCATAAATTCTATATAGTCGGTCCCGGCTTGCGAGCTGTAATTTTATTGAACATCACTTTTAAATCTGCACACTGTCGCTCAAGGTGATTTCTAGACTGAGTAACTGCTCAATAACGTTTGAATACTATTGCAAACTTCAGCGTAGAGAAAGTTTTATTACGTTGCCGGATTCTCTACAAATGCGTCATTTGATGACAACTATCGTTAAAAAAAATTGAAAATGTTTTCAAAGTTCGCTCTTAACGACATTCAAAAGTACTCAGAGATTAATCACAATATCAGATGTGTAAAGGAAAACGAATATTTCGTCGATCGAGTTCGATTACATTCAAATTTCCAGCTTTCTAGGAAATGTTGATTTTCCATAAATTCTATTTTCTATAAAGGTGGAGAATCGCTGTAGTAATTCTCCCGGATGTACCAACACCAGTTTTTAACTGGTGCATGCCTACTTGTGAATGTAATAGTCTAATAAAAGAGACTATTCATCATTTTCTTTTTTGAGTGTTCTAATTACAATAAGAAAAACGAAATTCTCTAACAGGATTCCAGATGTCAAACCTGATCTTGAATCACTTCTGTTACGAGTACTGCTTGACAAAGCAGCACTTGGAATCATTGTCGAGTTAGTTGTGAACTATATTGCTGATACAAGAAGATTTTCTACTTCTGTCTGATTCACTTTTGTCGCCTTACACATTTGCAGCACCAACACACAACAGCTGTCACATTTTATGCATATACATACTTATTCACAGCTATTTTTTTACACGACTTCTTCAATAAAGATCTTTCGATCATTTCTTCTTCTCAATCCTTTTTCTCACTTTTTCTCTTGTAGTAGTATGGGATAGCAGTCGAAGTGTTGGTACATGCGGGAGAAGTACTATACATCAGTTATCACAACCCGCTTAGAGCTGTGAAACATCTGATTTTGTAGAAAAATGTTTGTTCTACAAAATGCATTGCTAAAGTCGCGTTTCGTCAACTCAACTTTCGCCAATAGACATTCACCATATTGACAACTGGCGGATGTCCACACGACATTCGCCAGTACCTGTCCTCTGTATTCATTGGAGTGCTCATCCTTTAACTGCAAAAAATACAAAATAGACATTCGCCATATTGGTGATTGGCGAATGTCTATCGGTGAACGTTGGCGAACTGCGACAAATCCAATGCATTTGTCAAAAAAATTCCAAAATCATTTCTAAGAATACATAGAGCATTCTAAAATGCAGTAAATCATAGTAAAAAACTGTTTTTGACAACTCACGTTTAATATAAATAAAATTTAATCGGTTGATACCAGTCGGTTGAAGATAAGATATATTGATATTCACTACTGTCGCCTTAGAGTTGGATTTCCCCAACCCGGAGGTGCAACTGGTACCGGTATACCGGTATTAGTATGAGATACTCTCAGTTGATTGATATTGCAGATATTTTCCGGTATGATGTGATTTTTCCAAAAACATCGTATAAATTCAGCTCATCTGCGACATACTTCTTCCACTGGAATTTCATTCCAATTACGTAAACTTAGTTCGGTTATATAAGCGTCTTAATTTAAAAAATTGAATTAGATTGCTGTTTTTGTTTAAAATGTGCGTAGGAAAAATTAGCTGTACATCATCAAAGTGAAGAGATTAACCTATCTCTTTGATAACATACGTAATTGATCAAAAGAAGAGTAATCGGTTTTTTCGGTGAGTGTTAACAGACTTCTTCACAATATGTGACAAGGAAAAAGTATTTGTATTTAGGCAAAACATAATCAAGACAAGCTGATACCGGTACGAAGTTCGTATACCGGTGACCGGTATTGGTATCGCATTTTTGATACCGGTTACGCCCCTGCCCCAACCAGATACTGACTTATTTGATAAAGGTCACGTGCATGATCCATCTTGTGTGTTTATGTGACACATAATTGCGTGATCCGTAGTCAAAGGGTTAAATTCTATAAACAACAAGTATAAACAAGAAATTTATTTAGTTATGGCCTATGGATACAAGGATAACATTGACATTTTTTAGATGTAACTGACATTATTTTACTCGTTCTTACTGTGAGAATATAACTTAAGGATTTGTAATCAATGACAATTCGTTGATCAATGGATAACAGAATTACCCTATTAGTAAGAAAATAGAACTAAAGTGTATGCTTAAGACCAACCCAGTTTCTGTCATTTAGGTACGGGGTTCTTGCGTTTGGTAAACCATCGACCAATAATTGTTGTGAATCGATGAATGTCATTATAAAACAAAAATACATATTCCGTAATAAGTTACATTTATCGGCGTTTCTACCAAAAATGGAACAAATGTTAACGGATTGGTCAGAGGGAAGTATTTCATCAGCATTTGCTGCTGCTTCAAGTATATCTCCTGATATGGAGCTGCATGCTTACAAATGGTCAGTAAGTATAAATCTGTCTAACACTTCTCGAGGTGGGTAGATAGTGAGATAAAGTGTGTTACGTGAACAAGCGCAACTCTCATAATATTTTCCTTCGAGTATCTTTTGGTAGTCCATAGTTTGTGGATCCATCGTAAATACGTTAGAATCACTAACGATATATATTTGATTAAGTTTTGTGTTCCAGCATAGATCACTAATCCTTCCATAAGTCCATTCAATTTCTCGAACTATTTTCATTTTTGCTTTGATAAGACAAATATTTTGACCATTTTGAATTAACATATATTGATCATTTGCAGCCATAACGAATGGACTATATTCTATTTTCTTGATCGTTCGAAATGGTTCACCCAACTGGCATATATCGAGCACTTTGACTTTACATGATGATGAAGCCGAACTAAAAGCATTTTGAAATAACGTAAATACACTATGTAGACCTGAACGGTATGCTCCAAAGGTCGAAAATGAATTAGAGTTCATCAATTTATTCTGATGAGATTTTGACGAATGGAACATTTGACTATATTTCAACGACTTAGTAAGTTTTTGTTCTCGTCTTTTGAAACTTTCAGTTCGATATCAAAATAACTAAAATGAACTGCGCTTTTTCACCAGTTCTGTTTCTATGCATTTATTTTCGTATGAATTCCGAGAAGCTCTGCCCAGAAGAAAAGGTTTTTTAAAAATTGAATATCACGGGGATGACGATTAAATCAATCTATAGGGAAAATTTTCGATTGAAACACTTCATTTTTGTTTCTTCTGAAATACCTAGCTAACAGTCAAAATTTCAGCAAAACGGATGTAACCATTTAACCAGTAGGCCATGGATACAAATTCTTTTAAAACTTTGATTATCTCAATACGTATACTTTATCGAATGATGAATGAGTGAATCAAAAGAGTGCGGATCTATTGAAAATGTTCTCTCATAAGTAAAAACTCGAACAGCACGTTTGAAACTTTTCGGATGAAGACGCGTTATTTTGAAAGTAGGGGTGTTAGCAGACAGATTGATCGGCGGCGCGAACAGTTTTTTGCAATGCATAATCCAACCAATTCAATTCTTATTTTATCGAAAAAATAGAACGAGCAAGTTTATTTCTCTTTTTTAAGATAAAACACCATCAAATGGTAATTCAAAAATCTATTAGTCTAAAAACTAGTCACAGGACAAACCTGATTGATGTCGTTATTGTCGTGGGAATCCTCAAATGAGCAACAGATTCATCAATGTCAAGTATATCTTCCGACAGCAGCGGACCATATTTTATTTCATACTGATTGATGTAAGAATCTCGCTCGTTTGCTTTGCATTTAATGATATTGCTCAGCAGAGAGTATTTGGCACGATCTTGCTGGTTCCACTTTTCCATTTCACTGCGTATAAGCGATACTACCCCTACTTTTGCTTGCTGCTTTGTCAATGGACTACTCTTGTCTGCTGAGAAATTTTGTACACAGGAACAATTTGGATCCAAATCATGTCGACAGTGTACAATAGCATTTAATGCTTGTCGACGATACCAGTTCCTTTTGCTCAAATAGTTTCTTTCTTCACTCGCTTGAAATCGTTGAATAACCGCACTTTCTGCTACAAACTCCTGCATCTATTTCTTTGAGACGTTTTGTTAATAATAGAGAAGCGTTGTCTTTCATTGTGTTTGCACAGTATGAGAAGGAAGATAACGGTTATCGATACGCACACGGGTAGAACGAATGAAGCTAATAAAATGAAGAAAATCAACAGCAAATGAATAAATGTGACGCCGTCTGGATTTTTGGTACGGACACAAAATCTTTTCAATTCAATTTTCAACACATAAAAATCTAAAGACGGTTAGGTTGTGAGGGCGAATAGAACAGCATCACTCATACCCTCACTCGAGATAACAATGATTCTTTTTCATTCTCTGCTTCCTTTCACGATCAATGTAGGTTCGACTCTTGCAATCGTTCAGTTATTCTTACTTGGCTATTTTATTTCATTAATTTTTATTTTTGCAATTTCCGTCTTACTATTTTACAACATGGATGGTGATCAAATGGACGATAATGTCGATACGCCGATTTTTCCTTCGAACAATTTATTTAGTCGGAGAGATAAGCCATTTTTCGATTGGGTCCGATCGATTGGTGGAGCATTGCTGAGTAACATACTGGATTGTCAATCAATCCATTCACCCGAAGTACTGTTGAATACCGATGATGTATTCGAGATTTTCCATTAT